ATCTCGAGGATAAATTAGTCCTAAGGTTGCATATGTAGTTAAATATGTTGTAATCATTACTTGTAATTAATTATAATTAATTTAATAAAAATATACGGCCAAAGAGGTCACTTGTAAAAAAAAAAAAAAAAAAAAAAAAAAAATGATAAATTAATAACTTTTGTTTAATTTTCATATCTTCAATAATTATATCGTATACAGATAATACAAATACTACTTACTAATGTACAACTAATCTTGACTAATAACTTAACTATCGAAATAACTATAACTATCAAAATATAATACCACAAAAACTCATGATCCATTTTATATATGAACTCGATCTATTTCGTATTTGCAAAAATCACAAACTAATAAATAATATAATAATATAACTATAATATAATTACTTATAAATCGAAATAAAGTAGCTCAAAAGAAACTCAAAACATAATAATATATTATTCAATGTACAGTACATCAATATTTTATATGAAATAATAAAAAACTTTACACGCTATCTACTCGAATAAAAACAAACTACCAAAACATAAAGTTAAATAATAATTCGTTAAATATATAAATAAAACAATTCAAAACAAAATATAAATAAAATAATTTAAAACAAAATATAATAATAATATGTTTATTCCTCATCTGTAATAAAAACAGTATTCGAACTATGTGTTCTCAAATTACTACATAAGGAATAACTCGAACATCCCTTTCTCTTTCATGACTATACAATATTTTCTTTTGACTTCTATTATCCTTCACAGACTCTTCACCAACTTCCTAGAATCCTTCTAATTCAAAATCTTTTAAATTATCGTTCTCCTTGACACAAGAATTAAAATTTGTATATTCAGTATTTACTAAACAACTTTCATTAGTTTCACCAACATCTTCGATTCGTGCATATTTTGACAAATAAAAACTATCAGCTAAATGAGATTCAGACTTATTGTTAATATTATCATTTGAATCTATTGAAGCTGGTAGTTCATTCGCAATTTTTTCTTTCGAATCTTCAACAGTATTTTGATGAGTAACCAAAAGCTTAGAACAAATTATACTTTGAGAAGAAGAAACCTGAGATAAATTAGAATCAGAAGATTTCTTTTTATTAATAAAACATGCATTAATATAATTAATATCTCTAGCATATACATAAAAATCATTATCAATAATTTCTAATTGTTCTCCACAAAAATTAATGATTCGTAAGGCTGAACGCTATTTTTTAAATACATAAAACGTAAATTTTGATATTGAAAAACAACTTTCACAATAAAATTATATTCTTGACCAGTAAAATCGTTTACCGATGTCTGAATAACAGAGTTTTCACCATCCTTAGGCTCCCTTGGTATCTCTTGAGGAATTCTAATTAAAGACACCTTTAAAGGACACTTATTAGATGCCATAACTTTATTAAGAATCGTCATATGAGTAGATATTGAAACAGTCATCTGAATTCAAAAAAAAATAAAATGTAAAAAAAAATAATATTAACAAATTTTTGTTAGAATACTAATGAAAAATACCATTGCTTTTTTCTTCCCTTCATAATACCCAGATACGATCTTGCCTCCAACTGAATAAAAATTATCCTTTTCGAAAATAGCCTGAGTCTCAAAATCTCTATCATTCAAATCATTCGACACAAATAAAGTCATCTCGATATTATAATCTTCTCTTTCAACAGGGTATGCACTGAGAGCCCAAACAACTGACAAATTATTATCCTTTTCATACTGCTTCACGTACTTAATTCTTACAATTGTATCTGCATAACATGGCATTAAAAAATTATTATTAATTATTAAAAAATTAATGAATTGAAAATTGAAAATTGAAAATTGAAATTGAATTCAATTAAAAAAATATCAAATATCGCACATATATATAAAAAATTCTATTAAAAAATATCAAATATTGCACATATTTATAAAAAAATATAGATAAAACTCAAATATTAAAAAACAAATATTAGATTATTTTAACATCATTCTGACTTCAAAAAACACAATACTAAATCTTATGATAACGAATCTAACCAATAACAAATAAAACTTCAATTCAAATTTTTAGAAAAAACGTTTTCTATATAAGAATAAAACATATCCCATAACAATTCACTTATTAATGTATATACCAAAACAAAAAAAAAATATAACATCATCGTGAATGAAACAAATCTATTATACTATATTAAACCACAAATTATATAATCCCCAAATCAATGTAACTACTTTAAGCTACTTAATACCAAGTATACTGAAGTAACTTAATAGTCAAATTGCTAATAATTTAAATTTATATTATTCATATAATTAAAAGTACTTCTGCGAAAAAAAACAAAAACTACACAATAAAATAAGAAAACATATAAAATTCTACAACTTTAATAAAACCTCCTTTATATGCCCTCTTATTTTATTGTATATTGTTTTGTTTTTATATACCTACTTTAAACAATATAAATAACGTAAAATATAATCGAAATTTAGAAACTAATTAAATGAAAATCTTACTAAGCATAAAAAACAGGGACACATTATTTGGTATGATTAAACCTAATCATCAGCAAATTGCATTAATTACAAAAAATTATATCATTTCTAAACAATCACAATATTACAACATTACCAAATTCCGAATATAACATAAATTAACTGAAGTTAATCAATATTGTTAATTTAACCAAGACAATATTGATTGACTATTTAAACTAATAAATTAGTTATTTAATTAACTAAATGAGTTAATACAAAATAATAAATGAACTCAAATGATTCTATTATTCGTTTAATGGTTAGCCTACTTTAAGCAAACATAAACCACTAACCTATATTACATCAACTGATTGATTATACCCTAACACAATTGTTTTTATTAACTACCAAGTCACAATGTCATCTTAGTTGTACTGTACATATGTAATTTTTTATTATATATTGATATCACAACTATAATAAATAATAAATTTATTACTGATGCTTTTTGGCAAACCAGTTTACTACTAATACATTAACTGACTAAGCACATTTATATTTTAAATATCAATAATTTATATTTTAAATATCAATAATGCATAATATAAAAATTTACTCACAAACTTTCTCAAACACCAACTCAAAACCAAATTGACAATTGTCTGAAATAATATAAAACACTCTAAATTATTCAACTATAACAAAAATTAATATAACTCCATACCATTTAAATGTTATGTGTCATTTTTCAATTTGTATCGACTATTAATTGACGCCTGTCATTTTTCAATTTTTACTAATTGATAAATGATTCAGGTCAATTTTTAATGCAGATCATATTATAAACAATGATAGCTATGACAGACAGAACTTATTACCATTATGTATTATATTAATACGAATGATAGTGAATAAATAAAATGTTTTTTTAAGAAGTTCTTTATTATACTTTATTTTTTCTTCGTTAATAATTATACTTCATTTTTTTCATCGTTAATAAGTGTATTTCATTTTTTCTTCATTAATAATGAAATTCACAAAGTTGTTCTAACTTATGAGACTTATATAAATCAAAAAAATAAAATAAAATAAAATAAACAAAGCTTAAATGTCTAAACTACAAAAAAATAAAGATATTCAGTATAACCTAATGTTTAAACGTTAAGCGATTAATACTTTTAAAGTTCTTCGCGTTGTTATTATAGAATTTTACATATGTAAACAAAGCAAAAATAATCTGGAAACCCAAAAGTGCGTGGTTGAAAAGTTATTTGTAGTGCTCATCAGAAAGACCTGGTGAAAGGTTTATATTTTTTTTATTTAATAATAAATAGATCCGTTAGTCGAAGACGCTATCAATAAATGTAAGATATGTATTACTCGAAGAATGCCAAAAAGAATCACACTGATGCGTCCAATTATTTCTAAATTATATACAGGCAAGTGAATAATTTGTAACATTAACATAAAATAATAATAATAATAATAATAATAATAATAATAATTATTATTATTATTATTATTACTATTAATATAAATGTTATTAAATAGAATTATTGCTATGACTCAAATTTCTGATGAGGATACAACTCAAGAGCACCCGAATCAACTCAAAAATACTTAATCTAAGAACACTCAACTCATACATTTAAAAATTTTTTAAACTTTAATAAAAATTTTACTAACGCTAATATAAAATTTAATTAAAGTAATGATATAATGGAAATATTAGTTTAAGCTAAATACTTTGTCTAGACTGTTGCTATTGCCGAAATACGAATTGCAACACAAAATCATACTCTTGCAAAAAAAATAATTCGTTATGCTCAAGATGCTGTGGATGTGTTTTACATAGACAATGCAAAAATTGTTAGTTTTAATATTAAAATATTAATATATTACATTAATTTGAATATGTTCGATCAAAATTAGAATTTAAATATTTAATATAAATAATTTTTCTGGCAACTTTTTTTAATCCACAAAATTCATACCAATTAAAAAACGACATATGTTATTTTTCAATTGAAAAATGATATATGTCAATTAATAATCAATGTAAATTAAAAAATGACGCATAACATAAATATATTATAATTAATTTATTTATATTAATATATTATAACTAATAACTAAACTTCACAAAATAATACAACTATAATCATTAATAATAATTAAATCAAACTTATATGTAGACCTATAATAAAAACAATTAAACAATCTTTTAATGCGAATATATTACTACATAAATAAATATCATTTTTTAACAAAAATTTATTATACGATAGTGATAGATTTTTGAAATCTAATTCTTCTCGCAGTATAAAATTCTTCAAATTTAAAAATAATATGAAATAGATTATAAAAACATGCTCTTTAATTTGTCGTAGAAATTTTTCTTTTTGCATTTAAAATTTTAATATAAATATATATTTATAAAATATTACTTTAAAATTTTAAATGCAAAAAAAAAAAATCTGCATGATAAATTAAAGAGCATACCTTTTTAATCCATTTCATATTATTCCTAAATTTGAAGAATTAATACAGTAAGAGGAATTAGATTTCAAAAATCTATCACTTTCATATAATAAATTTCTATTGATTCATTTGTATAACAATACATTCATATTTAAAAAGTTACCTAATTGTTTTTATTAAGGATCTATATATGTATAAATTTAATTTAATTCATTGACCAACCACCCCACTGATATCATATAATTTAATCTCCTCTATTATCAATAAGTAATCAACTCATTTTTAAAACAAAACCTAAACTAAAAAATATTAATAAATTAATCTTAATAAAACTATAACAAACTATTTATTATACAATATATTTAATATATAATCACAAAATAATACACAAAAGTGTAATTTTAAATTCTAACTTAAATTAGATTTATTTTAACTCAAACCAAAATTCAGATGTTCTATAGAATAGGTGGGCAATATAAGAAATAAGCTTCACTAAAGATTAGTACAATAATCATTAATTTTTAATATATTAAGCAGAGTTTAGCAGAGTTTGCTCACCTATTCTATAAAACATCCCAAAATTCAAAATAATACTTCATACATTATTTTATAGCTACATATTATATATTATCAGTTATCAAACCATACACGTAGCATAGCATGTGCAAAAAGCTAGTAAGCAAACTAATTGGGTCAGTTAAAACCAAGTTCGTTTACGTATAGATCTACATATTGCATATATTCCATTCTTGATATCTATATATAAATAAACTACTAAATGCATCAAAAAAACTAACCCTAACGAACCTGGCTTTAGACGATCCCTGCTAATGGATGACAATTATTCTTATCACTAATTGGTTCCGAAAAAAATTATTAATCAATTATAATTGCATAACGATAATAATTAGATTGACAATTAATTTTTCGGTACTCCTGCTTTTTAATAAATGCAATGTCGCTTTTTAATTAGTATAACGATTCTTTTAATAATGTTCTTAAAAAAATATAATGATTACTATTATTCATTTTTTGTTAAGCTTAGCAGAAAACGAACTCGGTTTATGCTAACTAGGGATGTAAACCAAACCAGAATATGCAAGTATGAGATTTATACATAACACAATTGAACACTACAAATCTCAAAATAAAGAAGCATGGATCCTATTTCAAGATATGTCCAAAGCATTTGACAAAATAAATATC